ACCCTGCTGGCCACTCTCCTTTGGATGAAACCCAGGCTGGCCTGGGCAGCCAACCATGTGTCAAGAACAACTATAGTCCAAAGAGTAATAATGAGGAGGACTCCAGTGATATTAATTATACCAATATTCAATACAAAGGGTGGATCTTTATGATTTCACCTCCCCCTTATTCCTACTTGGTACACTTTTACTAATTTTCCCTAATTTTCTAATTAAAAGAAAAGAATTACTTTTAAAGGGTCATCTTGTTTTCTTTGAACACATCTTAGTGATTATTGAAACTGTTGCAATCATAATTACTAACCTTTAAGCTCATAGTTTTTTCCATCTAATTGGCAGAGAAAATAGGTGTTTTTTCTGCTATACGAGTACAATGTGTTTCTTAATGAAATTCCACAAGGCCAAATTTATGGCTGATCTGATTTTCATAACAAAATCCACTTCTTTTCACTTAATTAAAATATCATCTACTCATCACATATGCTGAAAACCTGACAAAGAAATGCAGCTCCCTGACTGATTAAGCCCTAGTTTCTTTTCTCCCCATGCTTATTTTTATTGTGCTTATTTTGCATTCTTACAGTTTGTCCTTTATTCATGTTGAGGGTCACTGACTTTAAGCAGGTCTCAGTGTCAGTTAGGCCACACTTGCGTAGTTCTGCCAGGATGGTAAATTTTTCATCTTTACAGTCCTGAAAAAAAAAGTCAAGTTATTTCACAGAAGAATAATTACAGAAGTTTTCTCTATAAAATTTTCTCTCAATTCTGAAAAAGTGTTTGTTTTTTTTTCTGGAGAAAATCCAGGCTGTAGTGAATTCCAGAGCTTCTTTTGCTGAAGATTTAATTTTGCCCTGTTCTAATTATTAGGAACAAGAAATGTAGAATCTGGATTTTATAGATTATATCCATATGGATATCAAGATGGAGTTCCATATTCATATTTGGTGGTTTTATTCATGACAACTGCTATTGTTTGATTCAATTCTACTGTAACTTTCATCTTTCTGTATCTGGTGATCAATGCTAGACAACTCAGATAAAACATGTTTCAGGTAAACAGTAACATACAACATTTTATTTCCTTTTACTGATTTATGCAGATGGGGGAAAAAAGAAAGCAAACAAACAGAAAAAGCCCATAAAAGGTCAAAACATTTTACCTACACATGTCTGTAATTAAATATTTTAATTATAATTAATTTCCAGATTTTCTATTTCTTTTGAGTTATTTTTAAATGTTTAAAAATGTTTAAAAGCTAAGTGAAATGCATCAATTAACTTAAGGTGTTTTTCTGTATTTAAATCCCACAGAAATGAAAAAAAGTCTGTCTTATAATACAATTTTTTTATAGAAATAGTTACTGTAATTTTTAGAGTTGTACCCTTTGGCCAAATACCATATAATAGAGTAACATGGCAAAAAATATGCAACCCAGTAAGAAAGCTGCATTAGTTGTACTGAAGGTTGCACACTAAGCAAATTCTTAAAAAAGACAGTGCTCTTCAATTACTCTGTCACAGAACTGGAAATTTTCCAGTGAGCACCACACACAGTTGTGTGACATCCTAATAATTAACTGAAGATTGTCACTGAAATGGCAGTGTAGCAAACTCCTGGCTAAGTGGCAGGGAATTTAATGTCTGTATGTTAAGAGTGCTAAGTTTTATGAGTGTTGATCAAGATCATGTTTTCTTTCTATAAATCTATAAGGCTTTATATAGAAGTATCCCCTGAGTCCCACCTTAGAGAGGACGTAAGTGCAATCTCCATGGTGATCGTAGTGCTTCTTATCATATGTGGAAATGTGGGAACCCCCCACTACAGAGCATGTTCCTGGGCATGACTTGTCTTGGCAGCTCCACTGGCCTCCATTACAGGTACTGGAAGAATAAAGTTAAGTGAAATCAGTAACAGTGGTCCAGAGTAAGAGGACATGCAGCGCTGTTAGGTGCAGCTGCCTTGCTCTTACTTTTCCCTTCAAGCTGTGGTTTGACACACAGGTTTAAACGTTTCCAAGACATGATGAACTTGTGATGCAGTGTATTAAAATCAATGACTCTGGTAATCATTCTCTTTGTTTATTTAATTTTCCCTCTTTGGACAAGTGAACTCTCCAAAACAGGTTTGGGATAAATAATTGTGTGGATTTTTTCAGGTAGCATAAAGCACAATGACATGTTAAAATACCTTCTGGGGGTTTTTTGTTTTGGTAATACAAATGTATCATAAACTAATAAATAAGAAAAGACAACTCCACATCTGCTCCTGATGCAGACTGTGTCTATTTTCAAAGCTGATGTGTAGAGCACAGGTACAGGATTAATAATTGTGAAATTGAGCTTGTGTTGTGTCATCCATTGCTTTCTCCATTGAAAATAAATATTTGCAACTGCATTAATAACTACAATTTCATCCCCCTTGGAGAATTCCAAATGTTTGAACAAAATAATCAAAGAGGAAGCATTTTAATTGACTGATTAGAAACCTAAAAATTGTATATCCTTGCTTTGATCACCCTAAGATAGGATGCAAAGCTAGTAATGGCTGTTGCTAAATAAAACAATGTTCTTCAGGGGTTCTTGGGAAATGTAGCCATCTGTTAAATACACATCTCAATGATGCAATTGCATATAATAAACTATTAAACCCATTAAAAATAAGAGAGTAAATAGTGAGTTACAAAAGTAACAAAGGTTACCAGGTCTGGCACGGCTCTGAAAAAGAAGATCCTGTAGCATAGGTTTTGCCATTGTAAATACAGGAGCACTCCTGCTGGGGAATACAGCCAGAATTGTTGATGTCATCAAACAGGGTCCCTAGTTTAAAAAAATAATAATAAAAAGACAAAACCTTGATCAATTAAAGAGGCATTTCCTATACACCATTTTATTTGTTACAAATCCTAAATATTTTCTTAGCAAGAGACCTGCCGTTGTTGCAAGTGGACACACCAGTGCTGAGGACAGCAGGACTATGTCAGTTTGCTGAGTGAAGTATCCAACCTTTGTATTCTTAAATTCCACCTGCCCTGAAAGAGGGGCTTGTTTCAAACGGGTGGCTGTTTGAAAGTTTGGTCTTGATCTGTTTGCTGTTCTTTTTTTCTGTTTTCTGAATACTGCACGTGTATTGGCAATTAATTCAGACATCTTTTTTCAGCTGACAAAATGCTTGTCTCTTGCAGCTGTGAAAAATACAACTACATGAGACTTAAATCCCATGGAACCTACCCAAATCCTACAGGTAAGCTCCTGTTCTTTGAGGTCAGAGATGTGACTACTTAAGAACTTGCCTGGTGGGCAGAAGCAGCCATCGATACAGTGTTCTTCACAAAACAGAGATCGTTCAGGATTTGTGCATGTATCAGCACAGGGAGAGTTGCACTCCTGGTACTGCATGTTGTAAGGACACTTCTTGGCTGAAATTTAAAGGAAGAGATTTTTTATTTTTTTTTCAGTCAAAAGCATTTCTAGTTCACCATAAATGTAAATATTTATATCCATTTAGGTTTTCCAGCTAGATTAAAAAAACACACCAATCTGCAAATTGACCATTAGCTCTCAAAATTTTCAAGTTTAACCACCTAGATCCCTATTTCATAGCTGAGATGCACATTCCATGACTCTGGTGCTGAACTGGCTCAGTTTCTGGGGACAGCAATGTAGCGACCTCAGAAAGCCGGCAAGGCCTGATTCTACTGGAGGCTCCCTTTCCTGTGAACACCTGTATTGCTAGTGAAATATAAGACTTAAATTCCTAAAGCTATAGTACCTCATGGGCTTTTGTTTTGGAGCAAATGCTGGTGACAGTATCAACAGCTACCCACCACAATCAAGTGTATGTTTAAATCAATACAAACTCATCACTACCAAGCAAGAGGAGATAAATAGGTGATTAGCCAGCCACACACCTGTGAAGATCCAATCAGTTGAGAACATTAAATGCTGTAGCCAGCACAAGGAGAGGAAACAGGAATACATGCAAACCAGTATGCCCTCCTTCTTATTTCTCCTTTATTTGCTTCCTTCTCTGTACCAGTTCATTAAATTACACCTTGACTCTCATTAGAGTATCCATGTCAGCGTTTTGGTAGTGTTTAATTCATTAAATTACATTAAAGTCCTCAGCTCTTTTGCTGAAGTCTTCATGCTGGAACTTACACATCAGCATTTTCTAAAGAATTCGGTCTTGAACAACCTGTAATTCCTCCTACATCCTCAGCATTATTTGAGAGCTTGTTGTTTGTTAGTTACTGAGCATGAAGTAAGGCTGTCTCCAGTGATACTCACGGCACAGTTTTGAAGTTCTCCAGTCCAGGGGCTGCCCACCAGCATGAGCACACTGCCGGGAGTACTCAGCAAAGGTGTCACAGATGCATGAGCTGTTTTTAGATTCTGCAGAGCGGCACAAGTCATCTTGGCAAATCTTAATGTAATCTTGAACATCAACTAGGTCATTACACTCTGCAAATGCAGAGCTGGTCAATGTTTTCTCGCATATGTCATCCTTTGGAGGAAAAAAATAGACAAGTCTCAGTAAATAGAAAGAAGTTTATGGGGGTGGTATTGTTATTTTGTGTAATTATTATGTAATGGAATCTTACAACCCTCTTTAAGTTGTTTTTGCCTAAGGAGTTTCCCTATTGATCTGTATGAAGTTGTAGAAGGGAACAGATAAATTTGAAAGAAAAATAAAAGGATAGTCAAAAGGTCCTTACGAGATTATCAGGGCAGTTATATGTCGGGAGAGAAGTGGAGTCTTCACAATGTTCTGTTGGCCCATCCATTTTCTGCATATTCCCAAACTGCAAGGCTGACATCTTAATATCTGTAGAAAAGAAGTTTAATAATGAAGATCAGAGGTTTTTGTTCAAAGCAACTGCCTGTTATCCTTTTTTTCTCTCAAGAATTTGGGTCAAGACTGACCAAAACAGTTAGCTCTTTTAAGCCTTTAAATGTGTTCATCACCCCTTCCAAAGGAAGCACCACATCACTTCCTCAGTTTACTCTGTACAGCACCCTGGAAGAGGTAAACGTTGGAAAACAATTCTCGACCTATTACAGCTAGATGCACACTAAGATTTTTCCTAGAATAATAGCAAACTCTTTTCAGATTATATTGAGCCCATTCATGGCAGAGAAAAAAAGTTCTAAATGGGAATTTGGACAATGGAGAGTGCTGTAAGACAAGGTTTAGGAAAATACCCAAGCTGGGAATAGTTTAAAGGTTAAGATTTTACAAAGATTATGCAAATCAGCAGGGAAATGTGGATATACTGATTTTGAGATAAAAATGAAACAAGAAATGTACTGTATAGAAAATATAATTGCGTTTTATTGAATATATTTCTATATTTATTTATCTTATTAGTGAAAATCTGCTAATTTTTATGGAGTTACCTGATTAGTTTTACCAGCATGGTGTACAACAGTGCAGTTATATGCAATGTAACTGATATAATCAGTTATATGCAATCAGTTGTTAACACCAGTACTATATTTACACTCAAAGTATTAACTTATATAATCTCTCTACTACACATTTTTAAATAGAGATTGAATCATATCTTATGAGCAAATCATTTAACAGGATGGGAAAGAGGAATGCTGATGATGTCAGAGCCTGTTGGAGATCCCATAAACCGATTTTTTTTTAATTTAAAGCACTTACTGTTTGAAATGAACTCATTGTATATGGGAAAGCCATTGAAGTCACCACAAAGTCCACAAGTCTGATTGGCATATTTCGCATTCAATTCCAGCTGAAATGATGAATAGTAAGTTGATAGAAGTTAGTATGAATATTCTAAAGTATATTCAAGACGAGAAAAAACACTTACATCTCCTCTCTCTTAGTAATTCTTGTCAGATCTGTGGAATTTTATTTAGCAATTTAATTCAAATGTGAAGGATAGAATACAGAGTCAGCATAGATTTGATTGCAGAGTCTAAGCTATTGATACTATTGACACAGACTTCTGATTTCATGGTACTATCTATATTGTTCTCAGCAACTTTCTATTGGTTCTTCAGGAAGAAAATCAAATCCATAGAAAAAAAATGAAGGCAAAGGAGAGTGAAATTCTGCTAAAAAAATATATTTGAACGGGTAATTAGGACCTATAATAATACTAATAGCTAATGATACGATGAAAGTGATTTTTCATCCTGTTTTAAGCAGATTCCTGCTATCCACTAGGCATAAATCCACGTAATTTTCTTTAGGAGTCCCAGGATAAAAGCCTATCTTTACTAAGAAAGAATCACTCAACAGTATGAGATAAGAAGGCAGTAGCAACCTCCTAAACAGGTGGGACAGGCCTAATCAAAGATTAGCCCTGTTCTCTGAAGTGACAGAGAGGTCCAGGAGCAGTTCTTACCAGAATGCTGTCCTTTTCATTCCACAGCAACACAACACCGATTTTGCTGCCAACTTTCACATAAACGCTGCTCTTCTCTATCGTAATACCAGATTGACTGTATGGCAGCTGAACTCTGGGAAAAAGCAGAAAGAATACTAGTTAATTTCTGATGCAAATGTTTGATAAGAAGAAGGAAAAGTCTTGTGGTATCCACCATCTGTAGGATTCTGAGTGTATTCTTAGGAAAGAAAAGCAATTAGAAAATAAGATGGTCCAACATTATCAAATATGGATCTAAATTTGGATCCAGTTTCTCAGAACATTTAATTTTTGAAGCAATCCTTAAGGGAAGGATTTATTTCCTGTGGCAGGAATTAATAGCCTTTTTATTCATTATTTATGTTGGCAAAATTGTCAGATCTATTGAAGGACACATAATTGTTTCCTCCCAAACATGCCAAAGTACCTGGCAAGACTGAAAAAGAAAAGCCTGTGGATACCAAAGAAATGTTATGAATGAAGTTACCTGTTGCCATCGACCAGGACAGCACCCTTTGTTAGTTCTGCAACGACGCCTTCAAGTTTCATGGTGATGCGGTTGACAGTCGAAATGTTTGCCACCACTTCGCGCCTAATCTGGATGTTGAAGTCCTCGTAGGGAGCGTTGCAGTGGGAGGCAAATACATAATTACAGAGCCCAGGGAAGGTGAATATGTCTCCGTCGAAGGTCTTGAAATGGAAGTTTCCCCATGTGCTGCACACACGGCCATTGTGAGCAGGGTTAGCAGCTGTGAATTAAAACTGGCTGTTAAAGAATGACTTAAAATCCCCAGCCTTCGCATCGGGAAAATCAACTTCTCCCAGGCTTCATTTTCTCTCCAAATGTTTTTTACCTGCCTTACCTGCATTTGTTGTTTTCTCTCTAACCACTATTCAGCTGTGTATTCATTCATCACTCATTTTATATCTGTAACTCATATACCCCTACAAATGGTTGTAGTTAATGTTCAGCTAGTGCTTAATTAGTCACCTTCATTTAATGTGAGACAACAGTTAATTATTTCTAATCATCATGTTTCTCCTCTTAATTATCCATGACTTCCTTTATGAGTACCTTTCCTCATTCATACCAAAGTCTATACCCTCTAAAATTGAACACTTACTGAATATATTTTGTTTCCTTTACTTACATGTTACTGCTAGATTTGTCAGCAGTTGTGGGATGATGTTCAAGTTAGCTGAAATTCTTATAGAAGCTAGAAAAAAAATAAGAAGGAAATCAAAAACTAGTATAACAGTACCTAAATCCAGATGTAGGATAGACCCAGGAAGGACTAGAGAGCTGATATGTCAGACCCAAGGAAACAGTGTTAAGCCTGTTTTATTTTGCACAGCTTAATAGTACATACTAAAATTTGAACTTAGGATACTTAAGTCATAAGAAATTGCTTTCAGCTTTGATGATCTGCATTTTTTACATGTTAACTTTGACTCTTTCATGAAACTGTGCTGCATTAGAATATCAGAATTCTTCAGAGACACTGAACAATACAGTGGGCTAAGCTGTAATAAATTAGCCTCTTACTGCAACAAAAGCATAGTTGCCTTCTCACTGCACTTCCTCTTTCTAAGGAGGGAATAAAATCCTCAATTATCATCTCTTTTCTGTTTTGTATTTTTCTGTTAAGGGGCTGAAAACCCTTCAAAATGGCCACACACTGGTTGTACAGGACAGGCATGAATCATGACATGGTAAAGGTCAGTGAGGATGCGTTGCCATCTTGATTTCCCAACATCAGCCACTGATTTCACTGATTTCAAAGTGGTCTCACTTCCTTTTTTAAAAAGGAACCACACATCCCTTTGGCTTTATATGTACATGTTCATGCAGATATGCATGCAGCCTCAACAAACGCATCTGTCTTCTTAGTTAACTATGATTATACAAATGTAACCATATTGTGTAATGTGTGTGTGTAATTAGTAATTGGTGTCTAGTAAATATATTACTATTCTTAGAGAACAGAGGTGTTAATACATAATTCTTTTCATCTGGCACTACTGGCAATATGATAAGGAGGGTATTCTTAAGGCATTTTTATTATTCAGTATGGATGTAGCAAATAAATACAAATATACAGCATAAATAAATTTACCATTTCGTTTCTGTAGAAGACCCCCAGAGAACTGACTTCCTATTTGGAATCCAATCTGACCGCCTGTGAAAAAATGGTGAAAAGCATATTAAGAGAAATATCCTGTTCCTGAACTTCTAAAGCAAAGTATTTAGCTAAGGCTCAAAGGACCCAGACACAACCCTGTAAAACAAAGGGGTTTCTGTGCTCCTTTATCACATCAGAGAAAATGAAACAGGCTTCTCAAAAAAGCTGTAATTGTAATTATAGAAATATAGCTGAAATGTAATTATAGAAAGAGGCATTCTATTACAAACACACAAAATTTGTAATCCAAATAACAGATGTATATCTGCTTTCTTTGTTTCTCTCAAAACTCACTGCAAGAGATTGTAATGACTGGACAACAGCCCTTATTTCACTGCTGCACTAGATCTCAGTAATACATGAAGCAATACAGGAGGAATTCACAAAATGCAGGTGAGTCATTTATTAAAACTGTTGCGTAGAAGCTAGGTTGTAGGAAAAGGCATGAAAGTGGTTAAAAGAATCAAGGGAATTCAAGCTTGATCCAATAATGGTTGCAGATATTTATGACAGTTTCTTTAGTGTCTAAGCACAGGGCCTTTTCTCAGGGAGCAGATGGGAAGCCTCAGTCAGGGATCTGGACTTGTCTTACAGCTGGATACAAGAAGATACCTCTGAGGGACAATACTAGGGTCATAGCCTGAGCATTAACCCAGAAGTATCCCAATGAACCAGGTTTTCTATTCTACCCATCTACTCACTCAAAGATTGCTCAAACTCACATCTTCTCTGCAGAAAATCTTAAGCATCATGCTGTAAAGCTATTTGACAAAGGGTTTTGCTACAACACCTGAAGCAAAGACTGTTGAGAGATGTCAAATACTCTCCTGAATGCTTTGATTCCTAGAAAAAGACTGACCCTGACCTCCTGGGTTGATGTTCTTAGGTCTTGGATTTTATAAGTAAATATATCAGGAATTTCCTGTAAAAGTTGAAGGGCTATAACTTTATTTTGTGAAGGGCTGAATGCAGTCAGGATATTGGTTGTATGTTTAACATAGGTATGTTTAACCTGCCAAGTCTAAATCCTCACAGGATTTAAGTGATGCAATGACTAATATCTGGATCTTTATCTGGATTATGTGAATGAGCAGTGCAGGTGTCTAGAGAATTTCTCAGTCAAAGCAGAACTGCCTATGGAGTTTGCCCTAAGTTAAGGCCCCCTTTTTACTTATACAATAGGTGCGAAGAGTTCACAGAGGCAGAACTGGGTTCATAATACCCAGCTCACTGAACTGAGAACCATACTGGTGGAAGAGGAGAAAATGCTGAAGTCAGGGGTGTGCCATAAGTCCCCTTTGGTACTTATATTCCCTGCTGAGCATTTCCTCCACTGTACCTCCGTGAAAGCTGAACAACTATCTTTGCCTTTAAAATAATTGGATTAGGGACGGCTTTTTTAAAAAAAAATATTCTTAAATATAACTTCTGTCTGTGCACCATGTAAACAGATTTATTACTTGATCCCAGAGCTTAAGAGTGCCTGTCTAAAGGAATTCAAGTACCTGTCCCAAAGAGAACTCCAAGAGATTACTGGCTTTGGAGCAGAGGGTTCTGGGCAGCCCAACCATAGCTAGAAGTTGCTGCAGTGTCTGCAGTTTCTTTCAGCTCTAAGCTTTTAATTCTTTTCTCATTTAACTTTGTGGTTGACTGCTAGTCACTCCCTATCACTATAAGCAAAGAAGTAACATGGGAGAGAGTTTAACCCTTTTCCATTTCCTGCTCATCTTTGAGTATCATAAATAATAACACTAAGTAAATGTATTCACACCATATAATTTATACTGATTATAATTGATGAAAATATAATTGGTGAAAAAAAACTGATGCAGATCAGGTAAGAGAAATACCTCTTTAACTCTACATAATAGGCTGAAGTTTGCTTTCACATTACACATCCATAGGAATCTTAGCAGGCATAGAATCATAGAAGGTTTGTTTATTCTAGTGTGGGAACCTTTGTAACAGAGCAAAATAGACCTATACATGTATTTTGTTCTGTTAATTTTTCTCAAGGAAACACCAGGAGCTTTTGTTTACTTAGCAAATACATCATTCCCAAAGAAATTCTACCTGCATTGGTTTGTTTAGCAATTACACAACACCACGTTGTTTACTATTATAAAAATAAGTGTCTCTCAGTTGTAAGACATTTAGTATTGGATAACTTGGAAACTAACCTAATTATTAAGAATATTTGGATGCATCCTTCAAGGTCTATACCCAGCTGGTAATTATTGTTGTCATCAGTTTATAAAAGTTAATATTTGACACAAAATATAAAGGTAGGCACACAATGTTCGTGGCGATGGCATGGGATAGGACCATTATTCTTTAGTCAGGATATCAGAAAGTATTTTCCACAGGGTGTGACTCAAATAAAGAAGTGTTTGCTGGACACTGTCTAATCACCACTCATTTTTCAAAGCCGTTTATCAGATTAGCACTGCACAGGAGAAATAACTTTCTTTTTCCATGAATGGCTGAAAACACTTCTGATCGACATTGCGTAACTCCAAACAGAAGTTTATACTCTACGAGATCGTTGTGTTTTCAAGTATGATACAGACCAACTGGCCAGTGTTTTAGTGTTTATTTCACAAACTATAAAGCAGCCTTAAATTATATTTGCACTTCTCAATGTTTTGAAGGTGATTTGCAAGTTAAATTTACCTAGGCAATCTGCAGATTTTAAAATGCCAGCTGACAGGCCAGAAATCACTGTACATGAAAAGGACTGACTTATTGAGCTTGTACTCCTGAAAATTGTTCCAATTTGATTGGTTCCATCAACTTAACAGGGTTACTCATATTAATAAAAACTGCCAAGACCAGCCCTGATGGATATAATATTGACAGGTGAAAAAACCCCATCCAAAATAATGGATTGTGGTGTCACCTAGGTTTCCCCGTCCTGCTCATATTCAATATCTGTGATTTATATAAATATTTTGCATAAAGTATTATAAATGATTTACTGCACAATTAGTTACTGAAAATCCTTGCTATATGAATATTCCCTCCTGGTTTCTTTTGCAAAAGAAGGAGTTGCAAGAAATGTTGAGAAATCTGGTATTAACACCTGGTAGGTGACAAAATACTGAAAAACATTGACCAGTGGACTGATCTAGCAACTGGAAAATGTTGTGGTTTACATCTCATAAGAACCATAACATTCATTATGAATTCTAATACAAACTGCAATGGGAAAAAAATGCTTTTGTAAGGCATATGGGATACTGAAAATCTGACATTTTAAGATGCAAATAAGAGTTTCTTTGGATTTGATCTTCAAGGCTACTTTCCATATGTAGTTATATAGAGAAGTTTGAGGCAATATTAAATTAAATCAGTCAATGATTTAATAGTCAGACATTTAATAGTCAATGAAAATATATAAAAAAATATTGTCAGCCACCTCTTATATGAATCAACTAGTACAGTTGTTTAGTATATATTACTAGGTCTAAATAGAGTATTTTTCTTCTCCCAATAAAAAAGAAAATTTCTTACCTATTTGATGGATACAGCAAACTGCTAACAGGAAAGCCCATTCTGGTAGCAATATCCCCCTGCCAAACCCCATCTTGAGTGGAGTTTGGCACAAGGATGTTGGGTCTAAACTTGATCAGGACCGTAGTTCATCTGTGCTTTGTCGCTCTTATATAGTAGGTGACTTTGGCTTCCGTCCCAGATTGATTCAGAAAGTGTAGAAAGGCGAGGTTTGGGGGATTTTAGCTAATGAACAGGTAAACAGAGGATGCTCTTCCTTCCTCCAAAACTGGCCAATGGTATTTGCATTTTGGGAGGAGTAAATACATTTACGTACGTACATTTTAAGGTTCAATCTAGTAAAGAAACGTAACATGATTGCAAATAAAACGCAACTCCTCCTCCACAAATAACAGGTCCTGGAACAAATTAAATTTGGTGTTGCTTTACAGTTAAGCAGATAGATGGCAAATAACCATTCTAAGTTTTTCAGTTCTATAATTGATGCCAGGCAACTCCTTGGCAAAAAACCCCACCGATTTTTGAAATTTGTGGAATATTTCATATGTGGGCACCCAGCATTAAGAAGTCCCTCCGGGCTTATTGAGGCAGCTAATCCTGTAAAAGGAACACAATAATAACCTTGAAGGGTCCTGCAGTCTCACATGGCCACTCTGAGTGCCTGCCATGGAAACCCCTCTGTGTGACACTGACAGGCATTAGGCACCCATCTGAGAAAGACTCAGGCAGCTTCACCTACACCTATCCTGTACACCTATTTGTTAGAGATGGCCTTAAACCTTGAAATCTATTTTTCAGTTCTCTGGTTTTGTCTTCTCATAGAAAATATCAGGAGTAATTTCAGCCAGCCAGCTGGTCTTGTACCAGCTTTCTAGGACTAAAAAGATTAATTATGGTCTGTGATCATGATAACACTGTTTCAGAATCATTCTTGTTTAATTCCATTCACATCCACAGAGTTATGACAACTGCAAATTAGAGAAACAGGCAATGAATCAAGGATGTAAGACTTGCCAGTAAAGGTTTAACAGACCTTTTCTTCCTGAATGTAGACTTTTTGCAGTTTTATTGGGCAATCATTTCAAAACCAGGAACAAATGCATACTGCAATAAGCACAGACAGTATTTCTATTTCTTGTCACTTTATCTTTTTTAGGTTGACAGTGGAGGTGGGATGAGTTGCTCTGGGCAGATTTCTGTCAATTTCCTAGGTCAATAGATCTTACTTTAATATAGTAAAAGATAGGCAAAACTATTCAAAGTTAGTGAAACAATTCTTTTAAAACTGCTAGGTTTGGCAAAAACAATTTCCAGTCCAGCACTTGGTATATACATCATTTTCCCTCAATTCACCCTCAGCTTTAACCTCCTCACAGTTTACCAGAGTGCAGACAGCTGATGGAGTAAAAAAATCTCCATTATAAAGAATGGAATGAAGGCTGCTGCTTGGTGGTGAATTTAGCCAGAGGGACCTGGGAGGTGTAATTTGGGGTGGAAGAGCCTCAGGCCTAAGGAGCAAAAACCCCACAATAACTAGGATGTGTGGAGAGGCAGAAAGGACTTGCTTTGGGTAAAATGGGACAGTTTCACCTTCTACATGTCTGTAGGATCCAGTTCAGCAGTCTCTGCTTGTGTTTATCATCTGCTGAAGCAGGGGAAGGACACAAATTCAGGAAGGTATTCTAATTGCAAATGGGATCACTGCCATAACCTAACTCCCTTGGGTTCTTACCAAAATCCTACCCTGCAATTATATATTTTAAAATGTTTCCGTAAAAGAATAGGAGAGTATAATATTATACTCCATTCAGGAGTTACTGAATTAAATGTTGTCATTTTCTTTTCTTTTTTCCCAGTTCAGCCACTATTTCCACTTCTGTTTAGCTCTAAAGAGATCAGAGCCTCATATATTTAGTACTATAAAATAACATAAAATAAAATAAAATAAAATAAAATAAAATAAAATAAAATAAAATAAAATAAAATAAAATAAAATAAAATAAAATAAAATAAAATAGTTTCTTTGTAGAGTGTTATCTGAATTTGATTTCTGGATTGAAATTGGTGGAAGCTTGCTATGGAAATGTTGGAGTACTTAAGTCAGCATTTTGGCCTGCTATAGCA